AACCTCCAAAACATTTATTTATCCCGTGGAGCTTTTGCCTTTGGCTGATGCTTTGTCTCAAATCATTTTTCCCCATCCCTCACACCACCTCCCCCTCCCCCTTCCACTTAAAATAGTCCAGTGCTACTGTTGGATTTAGATCAGGAAGCAAGATGGTGTTCATAGGTTTTCCATTTTTTTTTTTTTTTCAGGTTTTTTGTTTATGCTGAAATCCTGGAGGGCAGATAGAAATCACTCATGTAACGAATCAGGGCAACAGTCCATCAATTTTATCATTGGCTTTGAATATACGACTTCAAGTTGGCGGGTGGGTGCATGCAATCTTAGTATCCTGTTGGTATCTTATGTTGCATGACACCGAAGGCACACTACTGGTATTCTATTGTACTATGTTGAATGTTCATAATTTCTATAACATCAGTAAAATCTTGTAATATAATAATTTATTGTAAATAAAATTTAATAAATGTTATTAATTGTTAAAATTTTTCTGTATAATTAAATTTTTGTTAGATTCCATTTGTATACAGAAACTCATTAAGTGGGATGTACTGTATATAGAGGTGCTTTCCTCCCTTTGGCTGGCATTGTTTTGGTTTTTGTATTTTGTGTGAAATGTTTTTCGTGCCATGAAATGATAGTAGTAATAAAATGTCAAATCAAAATTGTTTAATCCTGTAGTATTTTTATTTATTATTTCGCTTTGGTGTGCCATTGAGCGTGAGTGTTTCGGACTATATGAAAAATAATAGTTTATCAAATTTTTTAAATTTATTTCAATTGCTGTTAAAATCAATCTGAATTATGTAAATTTCCAAGAATGCAAAGCTATTTGCATAAATGTAAATATGGCCTTATTCTTTATTTAATGATTTATTAAAACCAATATTGATATGGTATTTAATTACTCTTCCAGCTAAATACTAACAGAAGGTAAATATCTATTTCAATAGTTTGACAATTCTGCGGCTTTATGACTACTGGAGGTTATTCTCCTCACTAACTATGTAAATGGGATGCATTGCATAGGCGGGTCTTATGTCGGCATCATAACAAAATTATGCAATTTTCGGAATTGGGTATTTAAATTTTGAATGCTTGAATTATGTCCTGCAGCTGTTGCCAATGAAAAATGAATGGAAATTTAAATGAGGTATAACCTTGAGATTATTTTGAAATTGATATTTTATTTTGGTTATCATTTTATACCAGCTCATTATGGAAATTATGAAAATAAGTAAATGATCATCACAGCAGTAATAAATAAGTAACAACACCTCATTGCTCAGATTAAGCCACACAAAACTAATATGTGTGTTACTGGCACATCCTCAGGGACAATTGAACATCAGGGTCAGCCTGGTTTTAATTTACGGCCTGAATCAATGGCTAGGATTTCCCCTGGACAGCAGGGCAAGAGTTGTACTTTGGCATGTAAGGCCATAGGCCCGAGCCAGGGGGAGAGTTTGGGAGGGGTGTCCTCCTTCCCAATGAGAAAATTTTTTATAAATAATCTCAGCTGCTAGAGGCTCATACAGGGCTTCTTCACCAAGGATGGTGTTCGTTTTATGTCATCAGCATCCAAACTATCAATTTATGTAGGTCTATCCAATTTGACATGAACAACACTTTGATATAAACGTTTTAAAATATTATTTTTTTTTATCCCCTGAAACTCTCGCAACTTCCCTGATAGGGGGAGCGGGAGGCCTCCTCTCCATTCTAAACCCCCCCTCCCAGGTTACTGGAAATTATAATATATTAAGGCTTTTATATGTATGACATAATATTTTTGAGGTTTTAACAGTAATCTATTTTCTAATTCTTAGCATAGAGATTTATCTAATTATTTAATAATATACTTATATCTCAATATCTTGGGAAGAATGGCAATAAAGGTAAAATTTCTTAAAAGTTTGTTCTTTTTTTTGTCTTTTAATTGTTTAAAACTTTGTAAAGATATAACATCATCACACTTCAACAATACATAATTAACTCCCATTAATGTGTGGCTGGGATAGTAATTAAATACCATACCAATATTAATGTCTATCATCAAATGTGGAGCTATAAAATTGTTAAGTATGTACTTGCTCCTTATCGCCGTCAAAAATTAGCAGTTAATATGGCCTTTGATTCGGAGAATTTGTAGATCCATCCATTATTGTACAGCCATTTTAAATCTCGGCGCAGAGGACTGATAGCTTATGATATACATCTGACAAAAGTTGATTAACTTGTTTATCTCACGGCTTGTGGTAAACATCACACCATGTGCTTATGCAGTTTCCAAGAATAGTCGAACGTTCTGCCAATGGCATCATATTTATTTTTTATAACATTCATATTTCGGAATTGATTAATTGAATTATTTAATCCAGTAAGCCAGATTGCTGATTTCATTACTCATGCCTATGAATTGCACTGTCGGTGATCTTTGTTTACTTTATCCAGAATTGATGCAAAGTCACTAATCTGGCTTATTGTTTCTTAATGACACTAGATCCACCTCATAATTTCATCCTTTTCGAAGATGACTTGATCTAATTTCCAGAAAATTATTATAATAGTGGAGAAGCCTAAATGATGCTCTGCCTGCTCTATTCATTATTATCTGGCAATATTGTTTTTGTTTATTTGATTTCTTATGATGCATTTAGTAATCAGATATAAGTCCCTGTTGAAATCTAGCAAATATTTACAAAAATCTGCTATCTAAGAGAGTACTGTACTCTCAGGACTTGTACCTGAAGTATGTAGATGATATGATTGCATCCTCGCATAATGCCCTGGTAATTGGAAAAGCTTAAAAAAAAAAGCTAATTAAGAAAGTACTGTACTATTATGTTTTGTTTTATTATCTAAATAATGCATAAGAAAATAATAATGATAATGATAATGATTTCTGGGAAACCCTGAAAACAAACCAATACACCCAGGACTTAATGAGATGATAGCCATGTGAGCCAGGTGAATACCATACCAACGTTAATGTCTATAAATCATCAAATGTGGAGCTATAGAATTGTTAAGTACTTGCTCCTTATCGCTGTAAAAATTACAAGTTACAATATGGTCTTTGATTCGGAGAATTTGTAGATCCATCCACAGATGACTAATAGCTTATGATATCATACAGTACATCTGAAAGAGGTTGATTAACTTGTTTGAAAAAAAGTTAATTAAGACAGTACTCTTATGTTTTATTACTACTGGACAACCCTGAAAACGAATCAATACACTCGGAACCTGGTGATTACTGTAAAAGCTTTAAAAAAAAAGACAGTACTGTACTTTCAGGTTTGTACTTCAACAAGTCAATGTTTCCTCAGCAGTGCTTGTACCTAGATCAAGAGAAGATGCAGGGTGAACTTAGTTATTCCTGGAAAAGATTGAAAACACAAATCGAAGATATCTCAGCACATACAATAAACTTTTTTTCATAATCAAACCTTTATTATATTTATTGTTATAATTCTAAGTACCGATTGTTAATTAAAAGACAGGATTATAATTTATATAATATTATTTTTTCATTAATATATATTTAGGAATCTATAGGCTTATTTCAAAGGCTCACAGAGGGTCTCAAAAAAACGTCTGGGATTCAAAACCTACCGGTCTGAAAAACTGTAACAACATAGATCATTGTTATTATTGTTAAAATATTTCCTCATAAATATATGTTTATAAATAGAAATAATTGTGTAAATATAATTAAAAATACATTATAATACAAATGCATTAAAAGGTCAAACTGTGTAATTTGATTGTCATGTATTACTTTATCATACAGCAATATGCAATTAAATCAACATATCCATAACCTTAATCTAAGAATGCACAAATATAGGCTAATCAAATACAAATATCAGAAGTGAAGCCAATTTAATTGTTAGTGACATCATCATATGAATTCAACTGTTAACTAATCTAGAAAAGGGCTAGAATGAAGTGCAATCTCATCCAATCAGTACTCTTAAAAACATATGGAATTTGACAAAAGCTAACATATATCTCGGTTCACAATTGGTTCAGTGTATAATTAGGAGATTAATAAGCAAAAACTGTATAAGTTCATTTTTCAGCAATTAAATTTTTATCGGATGGCAAAATTGATGGTGTGTGTGTGTGTCTGTCTGGTCCATGTTATTAAAGCCAGAATGCTTCTTCATAGCCAATTTGTAAAGTAATAGTCTGTTTTTTGTTGTTAATTAAATCAATAGTGATGTGTTCAGGCATTGATGAATCGCCATGACGTCAAGCCGATCCAATGCTGTGTGCCCTATGACCTTTATATTTTACAAGCATTCTGATTATAAAAATTTATTCAAATAGCTAGCTATGGTTAAATATCGGCTGGTGCTATTAGATGTTACATTTTGTATTGATTTTCATGAATAACCAAAGGGTTGGTGAATCGTTTGACATAAATGGGTCAGATAAAGACAGGAAATTTATGCTACTCGCTAGTAAGAGAATACATTATTTGTGATGGCAAAGCAAAACCGGCTTGTTGAAATGTTGTTTTTGATTCCTATTTCAATGTGAAAGATAAATTGATACAATCTCGAAAACATGTACTGTATTGAATAAAATACTGTAAAACCTCAAATTGAAACTCAGTGGGCTTAATCTTAAGATGAAGCCCATCTCGAAATGAAGCCCCCTCTTAGTTTGCAAAATTAGCCTCAAAAAGAAGCACATGGGCTTCTTTTCAAGATAGCATAGGCTTCTTTTCGAGATAGTACGGTACAAACACTGTACATGAATTTCAGAAAACAAAATAAATTAAAAATACCTCTATAAAAGTTGTTATTTCTACTTGCATACTTTACCAACCTGAGAGATTTGAAATGCGTGTATGACTATACCAAAGTTGCTCCCCCCGCCGCTCCGACGATCTGAGCATTTTAAAATGTTTTAAAACGATTTTAGGGAGTGTTTGTTGATAATACAGGTACAAAAGCAAAAATATTATTAATAAAGCCAATTTGAGTTTCAATGTAGGCCTATGTTTACTTTGAGCACCCGAACTATGTAGACCTACAAAAACATTTCATTAACTGATAAATTTTTAGTAACTTGTTAGTGAAATAAGTAGGGCCTTCAAGTTACTACATCGTCGTTTTTATAGTTCTAATACAACCAATTTCTTCTAATTTTAAATACATTTTCCCCTGAATTTGTGATAAATCGTTATCAAGCATAGACTTGTGTTAAATGCGTAACAAATTTAGGATCCCATGTGTTTCTGCAGGGAACTTTTCTGCAAAATGCATATTTCATCCAACATCACTTTGAAATGCAGGACCGTCCCACACGATGCGAGACGGTTGGTAACTATGCAGTTGGCTGGGTCAGAGATTACAGTATCACTTTTTGATCTATAGTCATTTTCCTGATGATTTTTAACTTATGGTACACAGGGATTTATGTTTATTTGCATTTTTATAACTGAAATGAGTAAATTATTGTGGTATTATGTCTTAACAAATAATAGCTTATGATACCCCATGGGTTGGAGTTTGGTTGCAGAGCCTTCCTTAGGTTGTAAGTTGTCTTTATGTTTTGGTAAGATCAGTCTAATTAAAATGAGATGAAATCAATAAAAACAATTATAACAAAAGTAATATTAATTATTACTATCATAATAAATAAGTTTTAATATCAATTCACATTAGTTTACATTTTCCAAATTATCTTTATACTGATAAAGTGTTAAATTAGACAGGTTCTAGAAGATTCCTGATAAGCACAATTCATTATAAAATATATTGTTTATGGTAGAAATAAACATGATACAAGTGGTAAACAAATCCTTAAACACATTGAAATTAAGTGATAAGTACAATATGGATTGGAAGATGACTAGTCTCTAAGTTTGCTTGTTTCAGAGTGCAATGCTTAGATTTTTTTAGACTGCCGACTCTTGCTGTGTCTGTTGTTGATGCTCCAATTCAGGAGTTCAATGATAGCAGGTAAGGTATAACGTCATTGAACCATCTACGGTGGGCTTGAGTTAGAAAAGTTCCTAAAAGAAAAATAAACCCATGTTGTTAAGGACGTTTTAAATGAGAACATCGGGACAATGTTAACACAAGCTAAAGTAAAATGAATTGACAAGGGGAACACATACAGAAAATTAAGTACAAATCAGAAGTCATCATTATCACCTATTTATCATCATCTTAATCATAATCATCTGCACCACCATTATCACCATTATCAGGCCTTAAAAAAATTGTTTGTTTGCTGTCACATTGTAAAAATTCTAATACAGGGGCGTGTGGAAAAAGTTACATAATATGATATGGATCTTTGCCAAAATCGACGAAAAAGTGGTTTTTCATTTGATCTTTTAAACTTAAAAAAGTTGTAATGAAGCCGTGTTAGTCTAAACAATATACACAGATTATAAAAGGCAAAAAAAATAAATAAATTACATCAAAGTTAGTTTCAGAGTGCTGCCTTTTATAATCTGTGTAAACTTAAAAAAGAAACTTTATTGGAAAAAAAAAAACCTGCCCCTAATTTTTGGGATTTTAGGGCCGGCGGATGACGGCAAACAAACAAGTTTTCTTTTAGGCCTCATCATTATCCGCCATTATTGTGAACATCATCCTAACCATCCTCATTCCCATCATCATTGAGCCGAAAACGATGAAGTGAGAAATAGCAAAATCACAAAGCTGATGGTTTTTGTTGAAATTTGACGGTCTTTCGACAGTGGCCTACTGTTTTTCCTGTTGTTCTTTATGTTATGTTTCACCTAAGGATCATACTAACGTGTTCTGTGGCACTTACGGACCTTGTGAATGGAGAAATGACCAAAAAACAACTAGGTTAAAATAGCTGTTTTTGTCGAAATTGGACGATTTTTTTACCCTGCTATTTTCCGGTTGTTTTGTGTTCTGCACCTCTTAGGATCATACGGTCGCCTTCCCGTGGCACCACAAGGACTCTGTGAATGGAAGCATAACCACAAAACAAAAACAGCTTGATAAAAAAAATAATAACTCCGTTTTAGTTTTTTAGTTTCAGCATGTTCAACATCCAGATAGCCAGTGTTTACGTTCTGGAGACCACTACAAGTGAATACCATGTTTGTAGGCCTAAGTGTGTTTCTGTTCTTTAGTATTCAAGTTTTCGCTCTTCGTACGCTGGTCACTTAAATGCACGATAGAGCTACTTGCTCGGCCCCAGCCAACTGAACGGAGGGAGGAAGCAGTGCGACCCCTAAGCCATGATGATGCACTGAACCTAGCATAGCCATCCCGAGTGCCTGTCAGTTGAATGAGACTCCCTGTGCAGCTCCCCTGCAGTCTGTTAATCGCCTAGTCCTGTCAAGTATCACCGCCAAGCGATCATCAGGTGATGCCGCAAGGCTAAGTACTCAACCTCGCCAAGGCTCGGGCCTTCGCCAAGACCCGGGCCCAGACTCAGCGTAGGGTTACCGGCGTATTACCGACAAGAAGCCTCGTCGACCCCGGAACCCGTCAGGGAGAGAGTCAGGTGATTTTATTTTGGATGTGATTAGAATATATTTGGTTCAACTGTACGTATGGTATTGGTGTTATTACCTGCAAAAGCAATCAACAAGGATTACATTGGCCTATTTATTGTATTATTGTACAGCGAAATTGCTTTTTTTTGGCCTTATTTAAAAAAATAATTTTTAGTGATTTTAATGAACATTTAGTATTATCTTAAAGTACTTTATATTTCATATAAAAATAAAGGCTACTAAAATCGTGTTAAAATATATTATAAAATATGCAAATGATGAATATGAAACAATTGGAAATGTCATAGAGGCATTTCTATCTAAACTTCAAACCTAATGAAAATCGAGACTTTGAATAATAAAAAATAGAAATCAGTTTTTTTAAAGCAGCTGTAGGTGCCACCAGAATGCAAAACTTGTAGGTTTTTTTGCAGAAAATTGGCCAAATTTTCACTTTTAAAAGTTTTAATTTCAGAATCAACAGATTACTGTATGTTTTGTTCATAGTTACCAACCTTAAAGATTTGAAATGCGCGAGTACACCAGTTTGTTGGGGCGGGGTCAGGGCCCGGGGTCCAGAGGCGGAGCCCTGAGGATCTGAGCAGGTGCAAAAATATTTTTAATAAAGACACATACAATTTGAGTTTCAATGTAGGGCCTACATTTTGTTTGATTTGAGCACCCGAATGTACACAAACATTTCATTACTTAAACAAACAAAAAATAAATAGGCATACTGATTAATGTTTAGTAGCGCATCAGTGAATTAAGTATTTACAAAATACTGTCTAATGACTTAAGTTTAATCTGCATGACTGTTTTTATATTTTTAATAAAAACTAATTTCTTCTAATTTTAAATAGATTAGGGTTAGGGTTAGGGACAATTAGTTATCATGCATAGACCTGTGCTAAATGCGTAACAAATTTATCATGCATGTGTTTCTGCAAAATGCGCGTTTCAACGAAAATCACTTTGAAATGCGGGACCGTCCCGCACGATGCGAGACAGTTGGTATACTATGTACTTGTATTCATTTTATCTTACAATCAACTATGCCACAACCACAAACCCCCCTCCCCCACTGATTAGGCGATTCAGACGTCACATGGCCCTCTTACCAGATTTTTCTCTAAATGCTCCTGAACACAGTGCCGACCAATGGCAAAGAAGCTTAACCAGTGATGAGTACAGACAGTACCTTATATCCATAAATATGGTTAAAATTTTCTACAAAATACAAGCCCCAAAAACATTGTTTTCAGATTCAGATTACTTTTATTTGTCATACACACATGGTAATAATGATTCTACCTGGGTTATTTAATAACAATCAAAAACAAGACAAAAAAATTATTTTACTCTACAGTATTCAGTATACTATAAATAAAAATTAAGTTTAATGAGATAAACAAATAACTAATAAATTTATCAGTTGCCAATGCATGATACCCATTTTTTTTTTTTTTTTTAAGGCCAAGGTAAGAAAAATGATTATGGCACCTAGATGGCAGGAAATGGCACTCTCAGATTTAAATTTTAATATAATTTAGTTTTTCTCCGTTTTTCAGAAGTGGAACGTGAAATTTCGATATGGTTTTGTAGTCAGATTTGCGAGAAAAACTTCAGCTACTTGTATTTCTTGACTGAGACGTCAGTGGGAGCTGTAATTTGTATGGCAAGGAGATGGTGCTACCCTTAATTCGTATTAAGGTCTTATCTATGCTGTACTTGATCGAGTTTGTTCGTAAAGCTTGCTCTTGAGCCTTCTGTCTCCTTCAAAAAACCATTTCTAAGCCATCTCCAGGATTCTTCTCCAGCTACATCTGCTGTTTGTTCTACAAACTGTACATGCAGGGCTTTCTCCTTTCAGTTCCTCATTTCTCATCTTGCTTTCTCTTCTGATAGTCCTGAAGATTCTCTTCTTTAACTAATACCTTCTCCTTCAAAGCAGCTTGAAGCATCCACCATGATATAGCCATGTAAAGACTGGATCTCTTTCCTGACACACTCCTCAATGCTAATCATTCCCGTTCCTCATTATTATTATTATTATTATTATTATTATTATTATTATTATTATTATTATTATTATTATTATTATTATTTTTATTGCTATTACAATTATTTCATTATTATTATTAATTATTATTATTATTATTGTTATTGTTATTATTTTTATTATTATTATTATTATTATTATTGTTAATTATTCCTTATTATTATTGTTATGATAAGGGGCTTATAATCAATTTAAATTATAAAATATAATAATAATAATAATAATAGTAATAATAATTATTATTATCATTATTATTATTATTATTATTATTTATTGTTATTGTTATTATTATTCTTATTGCTTATAAGTATTGTTATTATAAGGGGCTTATAATCAAATTAAATTATAAAATATAATTTTTAATACCATATAATTGCTAGCAGTCTTTCAATTTAACACAAAATTAAATGTGTTCACTTAATACGGAATACTTCAAATTCAACTTGCTATGACAGTGCCAATAATCAGGCATTCAAATTAAATATTTATTTCCTATATGTATTTGGTAATTACAATTTGTTCTGTTCCTGCAGAGCTGGTTATGGCAATTAACATTGTGGGTACTGATGGAGTGTGTGAGATAGCTATGGAGTCATGAGATAATTTAAAATGGTTTTAGCTAGTTAAGTGTAATTGGTTTCGCATTTCCAGAGATGGTGGGTGCCTGTAGGCTCAAACTTTTCCTGGAAGTCATGTACCCCCACACCAACTTACGGCGCAAGGTATAATAAGGTGATGGGAGTATCGTAAAAAATTAGTATTAAAGTCCTATGTGGCAGAGGAATTCTAGTAAAATATACTTTGTTCTATTTGTACATTCCGCAAAGCAAACCTAAATAAATTAAAAACATTGTGTGTATGTCTTAAATTATTTTCATAGACCTACTGACATTTTACAAGTCAGCAATAATAACCACAGTATGCAAAAAGGATAAAAGTTCATTACATTAAATTTGGCAAATCATTCTCGATATAAGCCTACTTTAAACAGTTAAAATATCTAGTAGCCAAACTGTATACACTTCAGGATGTTTTGATTTTTAACAAATTTGGATGGATTAATTTGGAGCTACCAAAATCAAAACATAAATTCAGGGGACTACCGGCATGTCTGTGTGCATACCTGTACCATTAGAGCACTTTGCGTGCCACGTAACTCCGTGGCACTACAACTTTGATTGAATGTGCTTGCACGTAGCTAGTAGCTAATCTCTAGATGCATTGAGTACGTTTAAGAGCACACCTGTGCAATAATTGACGTACATATCTTTTTGTGGCTCTTCCGCTTCTATTTTATTGATGTGATTTGATTGCTTCAAGAAAGCTTCACAGAGTTCAAATCAATCCAGCCGAAATTATTAATGCATGAGAATCTTTCTGCTTGTAATTTAAACTGTATTTAAATATATACAACCAAATGCACAGTTTTTATCCTTCATCCTCTTATTTTGTTATAGAGAGGACATAATTATGCATAAGAATATAAATTTGGGATAAAGCAAGACATTTAAATGCTATAAAAATAATTTTAAACAAGGTTATTTCAAGCATAAGCATTTTCTTGATTTATAGATTTTAATTGACAGAAAATGGCTAGGTGAAAAATAGCAAAGTTGTGGCAAATGCCTAAAGTAATAAAGGTAGCCCAAGGTATTTTTTTAATGAAATTGGACGATTTTTTTTATCCAGCCTCTTTTCTGATATATACTGTATTGTTCTGTGGCACTTACAAATCACAAATACCAACCATATTGAAAGAAAGTTTTTAAACCTGGTTTTAATACTAAACAGTGATAATTCACTTACTGTAAATATCACAGATTATCACAAAAAAAAATAATGTAAATGATTTCAAAATGTCACTTAGACCTTGTTTTAAGCTGAAATAAATTCAGACGATATTTTGTTAATATAGCCTTTAACTATGGAAAAATTCACAGCATTTAATGCTATGAAAATTATGTTGAACGAAGTTAATTGAAACATAATCATTATTTTCATGATCCCTGGGTCCTATAAATTAATCAGTAGAAACACCAATAATGTAAAAATTAGTCCAATTTTAGCAACTACACAAACGGTGTAGCTCATATTTTTGCTGAAATCGACAACTTTTTGACCCTGCCATTTCCCAGTTGTATGGATTACAATAATATTTTCCATGTTCGCAAATGCAACTTACCAGCTAGTAACTAGTTTTAAGGTAACTTAGATGGTATCTAATGTAATAATTATGTCTATAGGTTTAGTGTGTATTTCTGGCATAATTTATAATACTATTTAATGCTATGAACTTTATGTTGACAACATGGCTAATTCAAATACAATTGGTATTTTCATGATCCTTGGGTACCATAAATAAGAATCAACAGAAAAACGACAAGGTAATTAGATTTTATACCCTATTTATTTTCCAGTTGTTTTGTGCTTTTGGTGGATCACAAAAATAACATTTTAGCAAAAACAAAAACAAAAAAATCTAAAAAAGTTATGAAAATAATGTTGAACAAGGTTATTTAAAAAATGACAGTTATTTTTTGTTATTATTCTTGAGTATTCTCTAAGAATCAGCCAGACAATGAATAGGTGAAAATTAGCCTAATTTCGCCAAATTATGCACATGTAGCCTATTTCACGTTGCTAATGTCACCATATACAAGATGAGGATTCAGATGGATACCCTGCATAGTACACATGGTTGCCCTTAAAATTATGCCTAAATTTTACTATGAATAAATGAGTGAGTCACTATATTATTCTTGGTAGCATAAAATATGTCCACACGTAGTGCATGCATTTATAGCTAAAGAGAATTCTGAAAACATATCTTGTATCTGTAAACAACAACATTAGCATGAAAAATTATATTTTGTAGAAGTGCACATTTCAACTCACGCTCTCAATAAAGTTCTAACATGGATATTTTAATAGAATTAGATTACATGGCGCTGCAGCTAGACCAGCAAGAATGCTCCCATGGAAATAAGCAAGTCTGTAATTTTAATCTCCAGATTGTGGATAATTGTGTATGTTATGCATGTTTTATTACAATGGACACAATGACCAGCGGTAATACATTATTAGTGGTATACTAGTAATACACATTGCAAGCACTTTCACACAATTTTTCGGTAAAGGCCAAACATTATTATTTACTGTATAATGGGATTATAGCTTTGAGATGGAATGGGAAAACCAAATCAAACTGTCTATTCTTTGATTTAACAAATGAGTTGACAAGAATGTTTGTAACACAGGCATTCATATGTTACACAGAAACAATATTATTGAAAATAAAAATGATGAATAAGTCAATAATACAAAAGGGGGGGGGGGTGGCGGG